GGATCGCCGGAGCCCAGCAGGTCGAGGCTGCGATGGCTGGGAGCGGCCACTGCACTCCAGTCTGGGCAACAGAGTGACTCCAACTCAAATAAAAAAAAAAAAGCGCTCTTCCAAAGGAAGATGGAACACCTGAGTTTCATGTATAGAACAGGTTTCCATCTGTCTGCAAAGCCCTGATAAGTCCCAACCAGGATGAGGTGTCTGGTGCCTAGCATGACTTCAGTTTTCCAGCAGTCCCTGCATGACCCAGAGCAGAGCAGAGATTTACTCACCCAGTGTTTCCGATCAACATCTTCATCTGCATCCCACTTTCGAGTTAAGAAAGGGTGTTTTTTGCTGATTATTTCTCCTTCGAAGAAGGTTGTAAGAGTTGGATACTCCTATGGTAAAAGCCCAAACATCAAAACAAGATATTGAATGAGAGTTTTAACTTTTCACAGAGGAAGACTCAACCTTGCTTTAATTTCTTTCCCATACTTTAACACTGCTGACAATCTAACTGGTTAGATTCAGTTAGATTCAGCCAATTTGCCAACAGTCAAAAAAATAAGAAAGTTATCATACACTGCTTAGACCGCTTTGTTAATTTTATTTGCTCTTTGTCCATGTCCTAATAAGTATGTACCAATGATTTAGAAAATTAATGGGACAAAAAGTCAAACAGTAAAAAGTCTATCATTTCTCTGCATTTGCAAAAATCAACCAACCAGTCAAACTACCCCTCAGCCTACCCCACAAGCCCTTGGTGCTTCTTGCGTGCATGGCTTTGAGAGTCACTGGCCTGGCAAACCACAGTTTACAGTCCTAATGTCCCCGGGACTACAGATATCCCACTCTTGTTCTTCAGACCCTATGCAAGCCTCTCTTATTGTGCATCAAACATCTACATGCATTTTAAGTACATTTATTCTAATGGCTTTGCCACTTCTCCAACGTGGCATGCACGTAGCACAGGATCTTCCTGAGATGCTGCCACAGCACACCCCACTGGCTCAGAGGCTCCCAGGAAACAGAACATCATCACGACCACTACAGGTGACTGAAAAGGCCTGCTTTATGACACCACTGAGATGTTCTGTTTTTCTTAACAGTGAACTTCAAAATATTATAAGTCTAACACCTCCCAAGACCTCAGCCCCCTTTTGCCCTAACACTGCTGCTGAGTTCCTCATATAAGTACTTAAATATGAGGGGGACGCAAAACAATCTGGAATTTATTTATAAAAAATTGTGGGGAGGGGGGTGGGACTGGCAGTTGAGGGAAACTGCTAGGGGAGGGAGGGGCATACTCATCAACAAGGGTACCTGCATGATCGGTGTTTTATACCTGACCCACATCTTTATAATTTAAAAAAAAAGAGGAAAAAAATTATGTATTTGTTCTTACATGTTTAAATTTCAGTTACCTTCAAAGTACTCTGTTTGATGCAATACACCTATTGAGACGCTTTTTCCACTGCTCGAAATAGTTTTTGAACTTGTCAATTTTGATGCTTTTAAGTACTCCTGCCACTTTATTGGTTTCACCGCTTCCACATTGGCAACACATCCCCCCCCCCCCCGACCCCTTGAAGACGTTTTCATCCAGGTAACAAAAAGAGTCACTCGGGGCAAGATCAGGTGAATAGGGAGGGTGAGGCATGGGGTCATGCCGCTTTTGGTCAAAAACTTCTGAACATTCAGCACAGTGTGGGCAGGTGTGCTCAGAAATCACCTGTCATAAAATGGGCAAATGTGTTGAAACTCCCCCGCAAAAAACTCACTGAAGCCAAATGCAGACTCTTTCAACAACACTAGCTGTTACACTGATGCTGATAGGTTCCTAAACAATTATGTAGCGGGGAAAGCCTGTACTACAATGGGCCCACCCTCCAAAAAATAATTACATTTTTTAAAGGAGTCCCCCGCTCATAGACAGTGTTAAGAAATTAAACAGGAAACATTTTCCTAACTAGAAACATAATTTGTGTTTTTGTTTTTGAGTCAAGGTCTCACTCTGTTGCCCAGGCTAGAGTGCAGTGGCACAATCACAGCTCACTGCAGCCTCGACCTTCTGGGTTCAGATGATGCTTCTACTTCAGCCTCCCAAGTAGCTGGGACTACAGGCACATGCCACCATGCCCAGCTAATTAAAAAAACATGTTTTTTAGACACAAGGTCTTGTTATGTTGCTTAAGTTCAAACAATCCTCTTACCACAGTCTCCCAAAATACTGAGATCACAGGCATGAGCTACTGTGCCAGCTTGGAAACAATTTTTAAGGTATAAACTAAATTATACAAATCTGTTTTAGAAAGGACTACTAAGGGACGGGTATGGTAGCTCAAGCCTGTAATCCTAGCACTTTGGGAGGCCGAGATGAGAGGACTGCCTGAGCCCATGGACTCAAGACCAGCCTGGGCAACATGGTGAGACCTCGTCTCTACAATAAATAAAAAAATTAGTTGGGCATGGTAGCACACGCCTGTAGTTCCGGCTACTTGGAAGGCCGAGGTGGAAGGACCGCCAGAGCCCAGCGGGTGGATGCTGGCGTGATCGTGAATGTGTCACTGCACTCCAACCTGAGTGATAGAGTGAGATTCCAACTCAAAAAAAAAACAAAAACAAAAAACCACTAGAAAAAAAGTTCCATATAAATCAGCCCCTAAACTTGAGACTTACAACTAGAAGCTATATATATTGTTTTTCTGAGTTTTGAGTGTTTTTATTTTTATTTTTTATTATAAAGATGTGGGGTACAATTCAGGGTTAGATATACAAACGTTGATTATGCAGGTACCCTTGTTGATGAGGTATGCCCCTCCCTTCCCTAGCAGTTTCTCTCAACTGCCAATCCTACCCTCCCTCCCCTGACAGTTTCCTATTACTGCCAATCCCTTTCTTACAGTATTATAATTGTTCAAGGTCCGCTTGTGAGTGAGAACATATGGCACTCTGCTCTTTGTTTCTATGATAGATCACTGAGTATGATCGACTCTAAATTCATCCAAGTTGCTTCGAAGTCCATATGTTTGTCCTTCTTTATGGCTGTATAATATTCCATTGTAAATATGTACCACATTATTTTTATCCAGTCCAGCTTCGATGGGCAACATGGTTGGTTCCATGTTTTTGCTATTGTGAATAGAGCAACAAACATGTGTGTGCAGGTATCTTTTTTGTAGAATGATTTGAGTTCCTCTGGATATATTCCAAGGTGTTTTTTTTTTAATTTTTTGAGTTAGAGTCTCACTCTGTCACCCAGGCTGGAATGCAGGTGCATGCTCATGGCCACCCCAGGGCCAACCTGCTGGGTTCAGGTGATCCTTCTGCCTCAGCCTTCCAAGTAGCTGAAACTACAGGCATGTACTACCATGCCCAGCTAATTTTTTTGATATACTATAGAGACGAGGTCTCACCAAGTTGCCCAAGCTGGTCTCAAACCCCTGGGCTCAGGCAATCCTCTCACCTTGATCACCCAAAGTGCTGGGATTACAGGCTTGAGCCACTGTGCCCAGCCAGTTTTGAGCTTTAAAGAACTTTTTTCAGAACTTCCACAGGAGGGATAGAAGAACAAAATGATTTAAAAAGTCCTAATATAACTAAAAACTTATGGTTTAAATCATATAAAGTTTTCCTAATGAATAATTCTTCACTGGCTTCTCTCTAAACACACTTTAGGCAGTATATCAGGGTGACTACAGGGTACCCTCAAACTCAGAATTAAATAAATATCTAAAGAATGATATTCAATAAGTACAGAAATCATCAAAAAGATAAAATATTTTTCAGGGCAGGAACAGGAAATTCAAGTACTTGACTACAGCCCAAGGAGGGATAATTTAGAAAGTCGAAGAAAAAAACCATGTCAGCAGGAGGGATATCAAAAAAATGAGTCAGAAAGGGAAAGCCATAGCCAGCATCAGCCCCCAAAGCAGATGTGGGCTCCTCATGGCAGGTTTGGCTACAGTCAGTCATTTAAATACTCCAACCAGCCCTCTCACTGATTCCAGGCTCACCCAAAACTGTCTGATGATGGGGACCCTGACTTTCCGTGTAGACTTGTTTTCTGGGGGATTAACATTCAACTGGACAGTACGTTAAATGGCACTTTTATTAATACATTAGTCTCTTTTGAGTTTGGTTAGTATAACCTGTCTCCTTGCTTCTGAATAAGCCTAGCACAGGCTCAGTTGGAGCTTCCAATCCTGTCAAACCCATCTAATGTATAAGAGGAGGGCCTGCCCTTGACCCTTCAAGGCCAGGCTCCCAAGTACCCACTGCTAGTTGCTGGGTTCCCTGGAAAGGTCCCCTTCTCTCTTGGCTGATAACTGGCCCAGAAATGCAAAGAGGATGCCATTTAATACTCATTCTTTACAATTTGGGGATTTTACTTTTAGAAGGCACACAAACAAATTTTAAAGCTGTGCTTTGGCTGGGTGCTATGGCTCACACCTGTAATCCCAGCACTTTGGGAGGTGGAGGCAAGAGAATTGCCTGAGCCCAAGGGTTCAAGATCAGCCTGGGCAACCTGGAGAGACTTTGTCTCTACAATAAATAAAAAAATTAGCTGGGCATGGTGGTGCATGCCCAAAGTTCCAGCTACCTGGAAGGCTGAGGTGGAAGGACTGCCTTAGACCAGAAGGTCAAGGCTATGGTAGCTGTGATCATGTGACTGTACTCCAATCTGGGCGACAGAGTGAGACTTTAACTCAACAACAACAAACAGCAAAGCTGTGCTTTGTTTGTGAATATGAGGTAGCTAAAGGCAAATTATCTCTAATGCAATAGTAACTTTCCACATTGTATACATGAGGAAGACAATTACTATGACTAAAACCCAAACCATTTAAATAACTTAATTAAAATAAATTATATAGTTGATATGTTAACAATTATAAATGGGAAAGAAAACAAAAACAGGTAATTCAGGTATAAAATTCATTCAATGATTGGTTATAGTTTTCTGCATTTTACTAACCATCTATGGCAATCATATACTAGACTTTTTAATTTAATTTTATTTATTTTATTTTTTTATTTTTTATTTTTTTTTGAGTTGGAGTCTCACCATCGCCCAGACTGGAGTGCAGTGGCACACTCCTAGCCACCGCAGCCTCAACCTGCTGGGCTCTGGTGATGCTTCCGCCTCAGCCTTCCAAGTAGCTGGAACTACAGGCGTGCACTACCACGCTTGGCTAATTTTTTTGATTTATTGTAGAGATGAGGTCTCGCCAGCCCAGGCGGGTCTCGAACCCACGGGCTCAGGCAATCCACTCACCTCACCCTCCCAAAGGCGCGGGATTACAGGCTGAGCCCGGCTCATATACTAGACTTAATTTATTTATTTATTTGAGACAAGGTCTCGCTCTGTTGCCCAGGCTACAGAACAGTGGTATGATCATAGCTCACTGTAGCTTCGAATTCCTAGGTTCAGGTGATTCGTCTGGCTCAGGTTCCCGAGCAGCTGAGACTACAGGCACACGTCATCACCCCCAGCTAATTAAAAAAAAACTTTTTTTTTTTTGAGAGACAGGGTCTTGCTACGCTTCCCAGGCTGGTCTAGAGCTCCTGGCCTCAACTGATGCTCTCACTTCCTGAGTAGGTAGATTACAGGTGTGAGCCACCACATCTAGCTCTAGACTTGTAACTTTGAAAGGTATCAAATAGTTATACAACTCTGTGAATATACTAAAAGTTAATGAACTGCATACTTTAAATGGGTGAATCATATGATATATAAACTACATCTCAATAAAACTACTAAAAATAGTTATTAAAAAAGAATTCTGGGTCGGGCTTGGTGGCTCAGCCTGGAATTCTAGCACTCTGGGAGGCCGAGGCAAGTGGATTGCCTGAGCCTGCGGGTTCAAGACCAACTTGGACAACTTGGTGAGACCTCGTCTCTACAATAAATAAATATTAGCCAGGCATGGTATTGCACACCTATAGTTCCAGCTCCTTGGAAGGCTGAGGTGGAAGGATCGCTGGAGCCCAGCAGGTCGACAATGGGGTGGCCATGAGCGTGTCACTGTATTCCAGCCTGGGTGACAGAATGAGACTCCAACTCAAAAAAAAAAAAAAAGGATTCTGGCCATGCACAGTGGCTCATGTCTGTAATCCCAATTCTTTTGAGAGGCCAAGGCAGAAGGACTGCTTAAGGCCAAGAGTTCAAGACCAGCTTAGGCAATGTATCGAGACCCCCAACTATATAAAAAGTTTTAAAAAATTAGCCAAGGGCCGGGCTCGGTGGCTCAGCCTGTAATCCCAGCACTTTGGGAGGCCGAGGTGAGTGGATTGCCTGAGCCTGAGGGTTCGAGACCCACCTGGGCAACTTGACGAGACTTCATCTCTACAACAAATCAAAAATTAGTCGGGCCGGGCTCAGTGGCTCAGCCTGTAATCCCGCCCCTTTGGGAGGCTGAGGTGAGTGGATGGCCTAAGCCCGCGGGTTCGAGACCCGCCTGGGCAGCGAGACCTCATCTCTACAATAAATCAGAAATTCAGCCGGGCATGGTAGCGCATGCCTGTAATTCCAGCTACTTGGAAGGCTGAGGCGGAAGGATCGCTAGAGCCCAGCAGGTCGAGGCTGCAGTGGCCGGGAGCGGCCACTCCACTCCAGTCTGGGCGACAGAGTGAGACTGCAACTCAAAAAAAAAAAAAAATTATCC